TCTGGGGACCGCCTCGAGTGTGCAGGTGTTGTCTATGGACGCCTCCACCTCGGGATGGGGAGCGCTGCTCAAGGGCAGACCGTTCGCTGGCCTGTGGTCAGAACGGGAAAGGCTCCTTCACATAAACTGCTTGGAAATGATAGCAGTCGACAAAACGCTACGGTGCTTCTGTCCCCAGATAAAAGGTCACCACGTCCTGGTCCGGTCGGACAACATGTCAGTGGTGGCACACATAAATCGCCAGGGCGGCGTCAGGTCCCGAAACCTTAACAGGTTGACGGAACGCCTTCTGGTCTGGGCTCAGCACAACCTGCTCTCGCTGAGAGCAGCGCATGTGCCTGGTCACCTGAATGTGGGACCAGACAGACTGTCCAGAAACAATGTCCCAGCAGGGGAATGGTCGCTGCAACCGCAAGACGATCCAACTGCTGTGGAAAACGTTCGGCAGAGCGCAGGTGGACCTGTTCGCGTCCCACGAAAACGCTCACTGTCCGAAATATTTCTCCAAGAGCAAGGACGCGCTGGCTCACGTCTGGCCCCGCTGTCCCCTCTATGCTTTTCCCCCCGTCTCGCTCCTGCCTCAAGTGCTGGAACGAATCAGGGAAAACGGATGCCCAGTGCTGCTTGTGGCTCCGCTCTGGACAAACCAGACTTGGTTCCCAGTCCTGATGCGGCTGACCAGCACTGCACCGTGGCCAATACCGTTGAGGAAAGACCTCCTCTCTCAGGCCAAGGGCTCGATTTGGCTTCCTCGCCCGCAACTATGGTCCCTACATGCATGGGCCATCAACGGGTACCCGCTAACCTCCTGGAGGGAGTGTTAAACAAGATCACGCAGGCGAGAGCCCCGTCTACTAGACGGCTCTACTCCTCGAAGTGGTCTGTGTTCTCTGCCTGGTGTCAAGCTCAGGGCTTTTCACCCGTAGACTGCGGGGTCACGGAAGTACTCTCCTTCCTTCAAGAGCTGCTGGATAAGGGCAGGACCCCATCCACGCTCAAAGTGTACGGTTTTGGAAGCCATGAAAGGTGCCCCGTTCGAGCCAATCCATTTGTCAGACATGAAGCATCTGTCTTTCAAAACGGTGTTTCTTTTGGCTCTCGCTTCAGTGAAGCGCATAGGGGACTTACAAGCGCTTTCAGTAAGCGCGTCATGTATGGAGTTTGGGCCTAATGACTCAAAAGTCATACTCAAACCAAGGCACGGGTACGTGCCCAAATCCCTCAGCACACCGTTCAGGGCCCAGGTTATTTCCCTGTGCGCTCTCTCGGTTCATGATGAGGAGGAGGATGCGAGTCTCCTTTGCCCTGTCAGGGCACTGAGAGCTTATGTGTCCCGCTCGTCTGTCTTCAGACAGACCGAGCAGCTCTTCGTTTTGTTTGGCGGACGCTCCAAGGGACTGGCCGCATCAAAACAGAGCCTATCCAGATGGATAGTCGACGCCATAGCACTGGCTTACACTTCTAAGGGCCTGCAGTGTCCTTTGGGTGTCAGAGCGCACTCCACGAGAGGCGTGGCCTCATCGTGGGCGTGGTATAGTGGGGTTACCTTGCAAGATATCTGTACGGCCGCGGGCTGGGCCTAGCCGTCTACATTTATAAGGTTTTATAACCTAGAGGTTCCCGCCTTACAAGCCAAGCTTCTGTCGGTATAGAATTCAGTGCTATCTGCCCCGCTGTACCGGCCCAGATGCTGAGTTTTGCTTGTGCATCGCTCACTGAGCGATAAAACAGCTCCATGGGTGTTGAATAACCCGTACTGTTACCCAGTTCAGGCTGAACACGTTCACCCTGTCTGTGTGAAACACTGTTAACATAACTAGCTCCTGTAGGATGCTATTTCATGGGGAATGATGCTTGCAGCCTCTCTTCTCCGACTCTCTGTGAGTCTATGGTGATTATGCACTACATGAGCCCCGGGCTACTGCCCTTGGGACTTTGGTGTCGGATCCCAGTACGCACGGCGTCTTGCATTGTGTTCCCCATAGCGTAAGATATTACGCAGTACGAGAGATACTCTCGTAAGAGAACGTACTCGGTTACTAACGTAACCTCGGTTCTCTCTGGAGAGGGAACAAGTGCTGCGTATCTTGCCGTGCATACACAGCTCTGGTTCGCTTCGGCGATGAAAACCAGTGTACCAGCCTTATCGAGCTATATTTATAGGGCGAGACCACGCCCTTTCTGGCGGGACGTGACGAAATGGGCACGAAATGCCCCCATTGGATATGGTGTCACGCAGCGCCTCTCGATAGGCTGCTGCTGTTGCAGCAGGGCAGCCAATAGGCGCGCGAGCCGTCCTGCCAATGTCTGCATGCTGCTGCACAGCGTTTTACATTAATTCAAAATTAAGGATAATTTTTGGCTTCAATATCTCGTGGAAAAGAGGTTTTCCCCATAGCGTAAGATATTACGCAGTACTCGTTCCCTCTCTAGAGAGAACCGAGATTACGTTAGTAACCGAGTACGTTTTTTTTAAACCTGGCAACTTATTTGTGTCTGTGTATCTTTTTGTCTTTTCTGTTTAGTTTTTTTTCCCATGTTTATCTGTATTGCTTTAATGTTTTGTAATGTTTAATAAAAATAAAAAGATTCAAAATATTTGAGCCCTTAAACTAAATTAAAACACTCACCATTAAGCATAAAATCCACTCAAGCCAAACATCCGGGTGGTATGGGGGAGAAAAGTAATTTTAGTTGACAATAAGTTGTTGTGTATGTTTGGTATATGTTTGGTATATATTTGGTATATTTTTTTCTAAATATAAGCTTAATTTATGTTACATGCATTTAATATATACTGTATGCGTGTGTGTGTGTGTGTGTGTGTGTGTGTGTGTGTGTGTGTGTGTGTGTGTGTGTGTGTGTGTGTGTGTGTGTGTGTGTGTGTGTGTGTGTGTGTGTGTGTGTGTGTTGTTTGTATGTACATGTTAAATGTATGTAAAATAACATTAATATTAGGCCAACTGGTAATATTTACCAAGTTTTACCAAAGTTGACCAATGAATTAAATTAATTCAGAAATGTATTTGCTCAAGTGTAATAATTAACAGACATCAAGAAGTGGCCACTAGAGGGCCGAGGCTGGTTCTAAAATAACCCAGTGGACTTTAACCCGTCATTCAAGATTTGTGCAAAGACTTAACGAATAAATGGAATAAGGCAGTGCATGCAGAGAGAGAGACTCAGTAAGAGTATATGGGACTTTTCCTAGTTTTTTTGAGAAAACTTCTGGGCAACTGAATTCAGGTGAGTGAAACTGTGTTTCTGTGCAATGGATTCTTACATAAAGGTGATAAATAAGGAAAACAGTTTGCATATATATGTATTTGCATGTGCAGATTTCTTCAAGATTAGTCACATGGCAGCATTGGTGATTGATTGGTGATAATATTTCAAATGGAAAGGGATACATTTTATTTGCACATAATACAAAGACAAAGCAGAAATTAATTGTAGAAATAAAAATAACTGCTGAGAAAGTAAAACAAAAAGCCTGAGGGGTTGTACAAAGCACTTTCCCACATATACATTTGTAATCGAAATTATTCAACCCCCATTGCAAATCAGGGTTATCTGCAAAATGTACAGACTTTCAGCTGTTGAAAATGAACAAATCAAACAAAAGTAATTGAAATAGCTTAACACAACAAATGGTTCACCAAGTGGTTTCCAAAATTTCAACTGAAAATGCAACTTTTAATGGCGTGCGCAGTCTCAAAATTATTCAACCCGCTAAATCCCTCACAACAGCACAAATCTGCAAAACAAGTGTTGTCTCAAGCACACTTGATGCAACTAATCAAGGGCATCATTAGTTCCACTAGGTGTGCTTGAGCTAGAACACATTACATATCTAAACTGGGTTTGTTGAGTGTCACGTTTGAGTGCATGTTAGAAATATGGCTAAGTCAAAAGAATGGTCAAAAAAGTTAAGAGAAGATTTCATCGCCCTTCACAAACAAGGAACAGGATACAAAAAGATAGCGAAGGCACTAAATGTTCCTAGAGACACTTGTTACGCACCCTTAGACACAAAGTTTTAACTTGCAAATTTTGCTTGTTTCTTTCTGTTGCTCTGCTTGTCGCGTTTGTTATTTTCTGTTACAGATATTGTCCTGTTGTTTTTTCTTTCGGCCATGACGGCGTGTTTTGAGATTACCAAGTGTAATGTGTTCTGCCATGACGGCGTGTTCTGAGATTACCAAGTGTAATGTGTTCTGCCATGATGGCGTGTTTTGAGGTTACCAAGAGAAATTCGGACAGGTAATATGTCACGTGACGTACACAACGCAACACTTAGCAAACTCGATACAAACACCAGGTAAGGAAGTAAACGCCACCCTTGGATGTTTTATTATTAGTTAGAGCAGTTAGAGAGGGCGCTTTGCGCTGAAGAATTTTGTCTTTTCTTTTCTTTTTGTTATTAGTTAGTTAAGAGGTTGGGATTAAGTTAACGGGAGTTTGTTCTGTTCTTTTCTTTCATTTGGCTTCACAATTTGTCCTTATTCTCTTTGGTTTTACTTTGAACTCTCAAACTGTATATTTTGTTTATTTTTCTTTGTGTCCACAACAAGTATTATCATTATTAGTATTATTATTGTTCATCTGTTGCACTTAAATTTCACAAGTACAATAAATCGTACTTTACTTTTCACAACACCTTGTTACGTGTCGTCTCTTGCCATTTTAATTACACCACCTTCTGATCACGACCTCAATGTTGCCCCTTTAAAGACTTTGTGTCTAAGGGTGCGTAACAACAATCTTGGAAGCAAAGTTTGCAAGTTAAAAGTTAAAAGTTAAAGGAACAGTTGTTACACTACCTGGACTGGGCAGAAAAAGGAAGCTATCAACGGCTGCAGCCAGATTTCTGAGAAGGCAGGTTCAGAAAACCCTCGAGTGACTGCAAAAGACCTGCAGAAAAAAAAAAATATGTGTTTAAAGCAGCACAAAGACTTAAAAAAGAGGTATTCGCCTGTTATGGCACTTTTTTTCTGCAGACATGAAGGTGTGCATCATTGGAGCGGGGGTCATCGGCCTCTCCACGGCTCAGAGCATCTACCAGCACTTCCACGGCCGGGTCACCCCTCTCACCATAGAGGTGTATGCGGATGTCTTCACTCCACTCACCACCAGCGACGGGGCAGCTGGACTCTGGCAGCCGTATCTATATGACAAGGGGAACGTGCAAGAAACGTGAGGTTACATTTGTGCATTTGTCCATGGTATAAATAATGGCCAAAGGAATTAGTTGAAGCGCATCTTTTTTTAATATTGCTTCACAGTAAATGGAACAAAGAGACATTTGACTATCTACTAAGCTTCCTCAGCTCTCCAGATTCAGTTCAAATGGGAATCTTTCTCCAGTCTGGCTACAACCTGTGCACTGAACCTATGGCGGTGAGAAAATATTTTTCAAATGCATGTAATGTCTTTTTTTCAGTATACAACATTGCATATAATAAACTGCAAGTTTTGATGGATAGACCATACTGTATTATATTGTCAGGTAATTTAGGTCTCTGCCTACTGGCCCTGAACTATAGTATTATACATTCTTCTACTTTCTTTTTGCACTGTACCAGTCCAGTGCATGGCATGATCAAAATTGCAGAACAGAGCATAATGAACTTTACTGTATAGCTGAAGAAAAGAAGTGGTCAGAATCAAATAACCTTAAGCGTTCACTTTAAACTGCTGAGCCCCCTCTCTCTGGCATGGGTTAAAACCAGCATGAAATTAGAGTGACAATAACTGACCCATCTCACTGATCCATGAGAGATGATTGTGAAAATTACTGCAATCTCTCTGCTCCGCTCAAACAGGACCCCTCATTTAAAGACACTGTGTTGGGCTTTCGCCAGCTAACTAAACGTGAACTAGATATGTTCCCGGGATACAGGTACATATCACCTGCATCTAATCACAAGTTATTTCTATAATTTGATGCTGCTGACTTGTTTTCAAAATCAGTTTGGTTGTTCTACCCCTTAAATTGGATTTGTGAATGTAGTGTGTTGTGTCGCCTTTCCTTTTTCCCTCAATCCCTTTCAGTTTTGGGTGGTTCAACACTGCTCTCATGATTGAAGGAAAGACATACCTGCCCTGGCTTATGGACTGGTGAGAGATTCCTGTTATCTTATCAGTAACCCAAATTAGGAATGAAATAAAATAAAGTATGGTTCAAAAGTCCACAATAAAATATTAGATTCAAGTTCTAGTTTAAACTTACAAATAAAATTTTTAAAAAATTAAACATTAGGACTTAAAATGAATAATTAGAATTTCAGATTTCTAGATTTTCTCTGTAAGTTAGAGTGTGTATATATATATATATATATATATATATATATATATATATATACATATACAAATGGAAGAATAAGTGATTTTATCAGTAATTGTATATGCATCAGAATAACTGTATGCATTTGTATAGCTATGTAAAATCTGTAGTGGACTTGTTACTCTTACAGTCTGGCTTTTTTCAGGTCTAACAATGATTAAACAGTCTTTGGCACGTTGGTCATGTTTCTGTGTTTTTCACAGGTTAGGACAAAGAAAGGTTAAGTTTTATCAGAGGAAGATTGGTTCATTTCAAGAGGTTTGAGAAATTCCATTGTCATTCTTGCACTTAATAAATGAAAATCTCACAATCTTTAAAAAGTTTGTGGTTAGTGTGATTTAAAAAAAAAGAAAAAAAGAATACTTTTAATCAGCAAGGATGCATTAAATTGATCAAAACAAAAGTGACATTAAAACAGTTTCCACAAAAATACTAAACAGCACAGTATTTTCTACATTGATAATATAAAGAAATGTTTCTTGAGCAGCAAATCAGCATATTAGAATGATTTCTGAAGGATCATGTGACACTGAAGACTGGAGTAATGATGCTGAAAATTCAGCTTTGACATCACAGGAATAAATTACATTTTAAAATATGTTAAAACAGAAAACCATATTTTCCTGCTAAATTCATGCTGAGAGTCTGTCTTTGTACTGTTGCAAAATGGTGTTAGTCATAGAATGTGTGCATTTGTAATGACCTCAAAATTGTCCTCCAGTTGGCAGATAGTGGTGCGGATGTTATCATCAACTGCTCTGGTGTCCGATCAGGAGACCTACAACCTGATCCTGAGCTCAAACCAGGAAGAGGGCAGATCATTAAGGTGAGGTTTAGTGAATAAAAGTCCTTCAGACCTAGAGTTTTTACATAGAACTATGTTGATTTCATGCCTTTTATATCAACAGGTAGACGCTCCCTGGTTAAAGCACTGGATCCTCACACATGATTCCTCATCAGTCTACAACTCACCATACATCATTCCTGGGTAAGACTCACTGAAATAAAAGTTGAAGTTGAAGTACTAAAACATAAACTGAAATAAAAATAAATTAAAGCTAAATAGATTTTTTTTTTTAAACGACTAAAAATGATAAAACCACATAACAAAATTATTAAAACTAAAATGAGTCTAAATGACTTCGTGACTAAAATGTAGTCTTGTCTTAGCTGTTGCACATGACCTCAGGTCCTCTGGTTGTTTCTGCAGGAGTCGTTTAGTCACTGTGGGTGGAGTTTTCCAAGTAGGAAACTGGAATCTGCAGAACAGTTCTGTTGACCATAGAGGCATTTGGGAAGCCGCCTGCAAGCTTGTGCCCAGTCTACAGGTAGCTTTCAGCCATTTCAGCTTTGCTAAATTATTGTTTGCTTGACTGGCATGAGGGGATTGAGTCTTCTTTTTTCTCTTTAGAATACACGGATAGTAGAGGACTGGACTGGTCTCAGGCCCGCACGCAGCAAAGTTAGACTGGAGAGAGAGACCGTGCGATCTGAACCACGCGCTTTTGAGGTGAGCCTGTAGTGATCATTAAACTGAAGATCTTATGGCATCTTCCAATGAAGAGGGGTTGCTATAAACAGCCTAGATGATGTATGAGTTAATGCGGAGCCCCTAATGGGACATGGTGATAGAAAAAAATATATATATATGAGATGGGAGAAAATAATTATATTGCAATGCTTTATGCAAAAGAAAATGCAAATGTTTTGCGAGTGTATTTTTCTTCCCATCTTATATATTTTTTCCATCACGCTGTCCCTTTAGGCCTCTGTAGATTCTCCTCTTTTCACACACCATGCTGTTTTCATTCACCTCAGGTCATCCATAACTACGGACATGGAGGTTTTGGACTGACCATCCATCGTGGATGTGCTGAGGAAGCTGCTCGGCTCTTTGGACAGATCCTGGAGCAGAAAGGCTTGCTAGCACACTCTAAATCACGCCTGTAATAATAGATTTGGGCCTCTGGACAGTGTTATCCATCTCTTGAATTGTCGCTAATCTAATAACCGATGTCAAATTGAGATGCATAATACATTTGACTACATTTATCTGCACTAATAAAGACACATATACTATTGTTCTTTTTTTTTAATCATAATTTATTGTTATCATACATGTACATCCAGTGCAGTGGCAAGAGATCTGTGCACAGAGACACAAAACGCGGCACTAAATCGCAAAAGGCAGGCATAGGAGACAACTCTCTGGATTCACAGGAACAACTGCACACTTCCCATCATGCCACACACATACCCACTGTACGGTTGAAAAGGCATAAATACAAATGACCGAATATATAATTGAGAAGTCGAGCTAAAGAAACAAAGACAGTATGACAGTAATAAAAAATATACTTGATCTACAGACCTGTTCAGATGAAAGCCACTTGCTATTGTTTTATTGTTACTGAGTTGTATTTTAGGATTCAGTAACCTTTGATATGCCAGATTATAAGGGAACAACTGGAGTTTTGTACATGAATGAGAATTTTACATGAGTGATTGCAGGTGGCAGCCAGTGAGAGGACAAAGGGAGGTGCTGAGTGGTATGAAATGAAGACTTTGATGCCCACTAGATAACGTCACTGGTGTCAGCCAAAGTCTAACACTATCAATGGCTTAACATTTAACCAACTTAAAGTATGGTAAATGGTCCTTTGAGAGAGAAAAAAGCAAGATAACAGAGACCAAAAACTGGTGCAATGTCTGATTTATAGCAGCATCCGGTCTCTGCTTCGATGAATAGATAAAAGTTGTCATGACCTCCCCAATGGAATGCTGGGAGTGGAGTGTAAGGCCCTCTTAAAAAATAAAATAAAATCTTTCTACTCGCTCTCATACCAAACCTGTCACAAACACACATACTCTTGTGCTTTCTTTCAACTTCAAGACTTCAGGACTTTAAAAGTTCAAATCTTTCGTTCTTCTCCTAAACACCCCCAAATACTCTTCAAATCCTTTGAACATATGAGAGTGATGATGGTTTTCATGTGTTAAACTGCATAATGCAATTATAGATCTATTTTCAACCCATTTACTGTTGTATTCCCTGGGAATGAGGCAAAAGGGGATTATTATGTGATGGAAATCTATTCCCTGTTTATTTTTCTGGTCCGGAGGTTCATAAAGAGAAACCTTGCAACCTTTGGTGGGGGAAAGTGTCATTAATGGACTGATTTAAATCAAAACCAAGCAGTTCTTAAAACAATTAAAACTGCGATTCCTTTGTGGACACACATTTTATTTTACAGATAATATTCCCCACTTCCATCTAAGACCAATTTCTTCTATAAAGTCTTTCCAAACCCCTCTGTAGTGTTCCCTCAGTCTTGTGATCCAGAGCTGGAATGTGGAATCCCTCCCGGGCTGTGGTCTGAGGCCCGTCCCATCATCTCCTGACCCCACTCTCTGTGACTGGACTCCTGGAGGCCCCGTCCTGTGGTCTCTATGGGCAGTGCACAGGAAGCAATAGCAGCCAGCAAACAGCAGCAACAGTACACTGACAGAGTCAGATACACTGATGATTCCAGCAACACCTTCAGGAAGGAAGCAGAGATGGATAGAACATGTCAAATTTCTCTGGATCTCAGATTCACATTGGGGTTAGTAAGATTTTTTGCTGTTTTGAAGGAAGTTTCTTATGCTCACCAAGCCTGCATTTACTTGATACAGTGTAAAAACAGTAATAGTGTGAAATATTATTACAATTAAAAATTCCTGTGATTGCAAAGCTGGTGTCACATGATCCTTCAGAAATATAATATGCTGATTTGCTGCTCAAGAAACATTTCTTATTATTATTATCGCAGTATTTTGTGGAAACTATACTTTTCTCTTTTTTTCAGGAATCGTTGATGAATAGAAAGTTTAAAAAAGATGACAGTATCTAATAGTTCTGTATAGACAAAAATGTGAACTAAAACTTGTGGTTTAAGTTGGCTATAGTTTTCTTCATTCACTTAGAATAACATTAAGCACAACATATTAATGAAACATAATATCTTCATGAAAACATTTACACACATATGCACACTTAGGGAATGAGACTCATTGTTTTTTTAAGTCATATTTCTGGTGAGAATCTCTTTGAACTGTTGTTGTTCGTAGAGTTAGTTTTTGCGAGCTGGACTCCGAATCATGTTGCCCACATGAGCAGCACAGATCAACATATCAGAGCAGGTGCCCTAACTGATTTCCAATAAATTAAGACAAAGAAAAGAAAATATATTGTATCTCCAACATTAGGGTTAGAGTATTCTGTATTTTTAAGTATTTTTTCATTTTCTAGATAGTGTTATCCACACCTGTGCCACAAATGGTGTGATAAGAGCTCCAACTCGGGCCATCCCACTACTGGTGCCCAAACCCAGTGCTCTCGTCGCTGTGGGATACACCTGTAAAAGACACCAAGAGAGAGATAACCATTATCTTCTCATTTAACATTGAACTATTACTTAACCACTGAGTGAATGGACTTACATGATCTACATGGATCCATTATTTCCCTAAAGTTTCTTCAGCATGATTTTATGCTATAAACACTTTCAAACCCAGTTAAATATCCCAGACAAAGATTAATGTAGTTAAGAAAAATGCCTCTCTCCTTTAGGTAATATACAGTCAAGTAACTATGTAACTACGCAATAAAATGACCTCAATGACAGTAATGTCAAAGTCAACATACAGACACTGCGTGTAATATTCAACCATCCAATCATTTATCTGGAGATGAACTCCAGTAGTTTATGAAAAAAAAACGTAGGATGACAAAGTGGCCTGTTTTATTTCAGGTGAGTTGTTGCAATTGCTGCCAAGTGGTGGGAGTGAGCCAGGAATTGGACGTTTCCCAAGGTCAAAATCCTTCTCTAGCGCAGCTGTTGCCTTGAGAGAAACATTTAACACCACATTGATAGTCTACAGGCTTTACTCTCCTTACAATTTATCTGCCAAGAGTGTCACATTTTGCTGTGTTTCTATTTCACATTCTTTTGACATGGCAAAGAAGGATAGAGCTTTGCCTTTGAGCCTCAGTTCTTCCAAGAAATAGAAACGATATATTAACTGAGTTCTCACCTCAGGAGTATACACATATGCAGCCTGGAAACCTCCAGCGATGAAGGCCCTCGCAATGAATATAAATACTGTCAAAGAAGTCCTGCAATAAAGGGAATAGTCAGGCTATATGGCATAATGTATCAAAGATGTCACATTAGAAAGAAATACTAGTTTGATTTTCCATGACATGTGGATGTAGATGTACAGTATGTTCACATTTGAGATTAACACAGGCTCGAGTGCTCTAGGAAAATGTCCGTAATGGATGTGCTTTCTGACCTTCCCACGCAGCCGTAGAGCGGCACAATGCAGAGGGAGAAGACAAAGAAACACAGTGCCATAGTCTTCCTCCTTCCTAAGCGATCAATTGCCCACAGGGTCACCAGCAGGCCTGTGATGCATCGATCAATACATTCATCACATTTTATTTTTTGCCTGCCATAAGTTACTTAAAAATGAGATGTTAATGGTGTTATAATTCAAAGATGTACCTGGAAACTCAGAAAGTGTGGTCCATAGAAGGTCTTTGTAATCATCTGAATTCAGATATTTGCACTCCAAACTACATCCTGGGTCCCTTTTTCTGCCCTTCCCCCCTAGGGAGTGATACACGACCAATATATGCATACAGAATACATTGGTTGTATTTGGTTCGTTTTCTACCACACTATAGTTTGAAATGTATAACACATACTGATTTTTACTGATATAGTATACAGTATATTAAATATGGTATTCTATTCCATACTTGGCCTTTACATTCTCACTATGCTGCTCCAGTCTGTTTTTAAACACACAATATCTGTCACTCACCACCACAGGCGCCTCCCTCCTGGAAAAGCTCGGTCGTCAGCAAAACCACACCATAATATGAGAATGCATTAGAGAACCTGCAACAGGAAGTGTATAATAATATAATAAAATAAACAGAATATGAATGCAGGCAGCAAGAACTAAACATTGTGAAATATTTGAGTAAAATTGTGAAATAAAAGAGTGAGATCTGACAAATCTCAAGGAACAAAAAGTCCTTTTAAGGATTAGTGGACATCTACATTCGTGATTTAATGACTGTTTACACAGTAATTTCTAGGAATCAGTATTGTAGGACTCTTTTACCATATGAACCAGAGCAGAACAGTAGTCCAGCGCAAGGGTGGAGAGAAAAGATCCCGAAGTTTCCCCCTGTCCTCCTAAACACAGAAAACAACAATTATACTCAAAATAAGGAGAGATGACATATAAATAACAATATTTATATATACTATAAATTGTGTAAACATTTTTTTGTATATATTTTTAAAATGTCATTTATTTCTGTGATGGCAACACTGAATTTTTAGCATCATTACTCCAGTCTTCAGTGTCACATGATACTTCAGATTCATTCTAATATGCTGATTCGCTGCTCAAGAAATATTTCTTATAATTATCAATGTTGATAATTAGTTTTTCACAAATGTAGAATCATTTTATGTGCAAACATGTTAATGAATCATAATTTATGCATGAAAACATTTAAACACATATGCAGTTGTCTATTCCTTCCCTTTTTTTAAATCATATTTTTGGTAGGAAACTCTTTCAATTATCGTTGTTTGTAGAGTTAGTTTTTGCGAGCTGGACTCAAAATCATATTGCCCACCTGAGCATATGGGCAATAATATCAGAGCAGTAGCCCCCAACTGCCACAGATTCAACAGCATTGTATTATAAGAAGTGTTTCACTGTTTTCCATTAAAGAAAGCCATATTGATATATATAAAGTAATATACTAATATATAAGTATATTTAACTAGTACCTTACCTGTCTGGCCACTATGAGTTTTCCCAGTGGCATGGGGACATTATTCTCTGAAGCAATGCGTTTGAGTGTGTTCAAAGCCTTCTCCTGATTTCCTGTCAGAACGTCGTAACGAGCACTTTCTGGCAGCCACTGTTGATGTGCATTTGACATTTAGTTTACTCTTTTGTTCAGACAATATATTGCTCACACCAC